TAACACCTAGGAAGGTGGTTGGGCCGTGACCTCTACCGGCAAAGAACGCGCTTTGGAAAAGGGTATCTATATTACCTTGCCATACAGAGCTTTAAACCATCTTTAAATGCTGAGATTTGTATTTCTGGCCAATGCTAAAAAGTAAGCTGACCACATTGATCCAATGGTCCTCTGTATCAGACTGCAAGAAAAATTTGCATATGCAACGATGTAGCTCCCAGCAACACTCAATTGTAGTTGACTGACAAAACTTTCCAGTTCATAGCTGAAAGCTCAGAGCCTTTTCTGATACCAGCCTTTTATTTTAATAAAACTATTCTGCAGTGAATCCTTTGTGTGGTAATCCAATGTAGAGTTATTCACATGAAATCAGCGACTTTAAGCATGTATGCCTAATTCTGTCACTATCACTGCCTGTGTCACTTTGAAAAGGATACAATTAATGCTTTGCATGAGGGTTTAAATAGCTCAATGCCTTCTAGTGGATCCAAGGATAATTCAAGAAGATAAAAACAAAAAGACCATTCGGAGAATTAACAAGGAGAACCTTGGAAACGGTCCCCTGCCAAAACTACACTGTGCACAACACAAGGTTAAAAAACCCACATGAATGCATATTTTTGCAATAGACCAAAAGGTGGAATACAAATATTTTTTAAACAAATATTGCACCTCTGATTTACAGCAACCCTGTGGGGTTTTCAAGGCAAGAGACGAATAGAGGTGGTTTGCCATTGCCTGCCTCTGCACAGCAACCCTGGACTTCCTTGGTGGTCTCCCATCCAAGTACTAACCAGGACCGACTGACCTTGCTCAGCTTCCAAGATCTGATGAGACTGAGCTAGCCTTGGGCCGTCCATGTCAGGGCAACGATGCACATATAAGAGATATGAAAGTCCCTAAACATGCCCTCCAGAATATGTATACAGAACACTGGATTACTTTCCCTTTTCTGAAACCAGCCTAGTTATTTTTCAGTATGGTGTAATCCCATTTAGCTTTTGGATCATGGTCTTTAAATTCAGAATATTTTCTGATGCTACAGCCCAAGTTTCAGGCATGCCAGGCTACCCCTTGGGATCCCCACAAAGATTTAGAAGGCAAATACAAGCTCACTGGTGCACAGTGTCACTTCTGGCGGTGGATAGAGGGGGGGGGATTATAAACGCACACTGGACAGACAAACTGCATAGTGAAGACTCACTACATGCATAAGGAGGCTCAACGTAGGGTTGCCAGGTCCCACCTGGCCACTGGTGGCGGATGGAGGTAGGGTTGCCAGATCCAGGTCAGGAAACTCCTGGAGATTTGGGGATTGTCTTATTGTTATGTCTTAATGTAATAAAGAGCATTACTGGGATTGACCTAAAGGGCCAATCAGAGAAGCCTTGTCTTCGGCGGGAACCACTCTCATTGGTTCCAAGCTCCGTGTTCCTATTGGTTGTTATCTGTTTGTTGGGTGTGGTTTTTGGCCGATCAAATTGTATATAAGTCAGCCTTGTTCTATGTAGCTTTGTCTCGGTATGAGCTGAATAAACATGAAATTACTTGGTTAAGAGCTGCCTCGATCTCAGTTTATAATAGGGATGGAGCCTGGGGAGGACAGGGAACTCAGTGGGGCACAATGCCATAGAAGCTGCCCTCCAAAGCATCCTTTTTCTTCAGGGGAACTGATCTCTGTAGTCTGGAGAGGAGCTGTAATTCCAGGGGACCCCAGGTCCCACCTGGAGGCTGGCATCCCTAGCTCAAGGTCATGCAAACTTTATTTTTACCCTCATGTTTACAATTTTTCTCTCTTATATCCAGTTATGAAGAAAACATATGTAAAGAGCTGGTTCTAACAAAAATGCTGAAATAAATGGTGAAATAGAAGGAAGGAAATGCCAAATGTAATGAGAAGCAGAGACCGTTCACAGTAGCTGCAGTTGCTGCGAATCTCCCTCATCTTGCTGAACTGGTTAAGTACGAGTTAGTCTTGCTGCAACTAACTCAGCTGCTCTTCTGGAACTGAAGTTTAATGTCGGTTTTATCTGCCATGTGGTGTTGGCGGAGAAATTATGATACTTCTTCACACCAACTTTACAAAACAGCATACAAACAGCAACAACAGAAAATATAAAACAAGTTCTAAAAAGCAGAAAATGCTAGTGAAGAGACTGTGTGGGACTTTGTATTTACTAAATGCAACGGACTCCAGAACGGACAAGCATGTTCCATAATAAAAATATTTTCTATTTTCTCAGAGTGAAAAAACCAAGCGTGGTCAAGCACAGCAGGGAATGCACTGGAAGGAACTGGAATGAGGATGGGGTTGTGAACCTCCATGTGGAAATATCCCAGGATTACAACTGGTCTCCAGGTTACAAAGATCAATTCCCCTGGAAAAAACAGCTGCTTTGGAAGGTGGATGCTATGGCATTATGCCCCACTGGGTCTCTCCCAGGGGTCATTTCGTAGAAAAAGAGCTAGGGGAACTCATTAGCATAACTCATTAGCATATGCCACACCCCCTGACATCACCGGAAGTGTGCCATAAGGCCACACCCCCCGCCCCCAATGGTCCCGGCCGGCGGTGGCGGCCTTGCAGCTCCACTGCCGAGCCCCATGAGGGGCCCGGCGTCTTCTCCTGCCTCCTCCTGGCTGAATGAGGGCCGGAAGCGGGGGGCGGGGCTTCATCATGTGCCCCGCCCCCCGTACCTCACCCGGGAGAACAGCGATCCCCCGCGATCCCCCCGAAATGACCTCTGGTCTCTCCCCTCACCAAACCCTGCCCTCCCCAGGCTCCACCCCCAACATCTCCAGCAATTGTCCAACCCAGATCTGACAACCCTAGGGGACGGGCATGCTGGCATCCCACCAGGATGCCACCCAATTTCCCCCCTGCCAGCCTGAGAAGTACTAGCAGGGAACAGGGGTAGTGACAAGCCTCCATCAAGATTGTCCAGACCCAGGAGATGAACCTTGAAGGAGCAGAATACAAATGGTTCAGGCTCCTCTTACCCTTCTCAGTACTGAGGGGCAGTCGGCTCTCTTACTCCAGGAGAATGTACAGAGCAGCATGCTTAGGGGGAAAGATCACTGAACAGCAAGTAGCCTAGGCCACTACAGAAGAAGAAGATACCAGGCACCAACAAAGCGTTTCATGTTGCCAAACCTTTGGAGAAACAGGGTTTTAGCTGCTCGGCAACACAGCCAACAGTATGTTGAAAAGGATCCAAAACCAAACGTGTAACACAGACAAAATTTATTTTTTAAATTTCATGAGCTTAAAAGCTAATTTTATTTATAATTTTCAAATATTTAGTGCTGGAATGCTAAGAAAAGAATCACAGTCTATTGCTCTGCTAGTTTTTCAGGTCTAGTAAATAGGTTTGTGGCGGTCATTGTGCTAATATATAAAAAAGGAAGATACCCTGAGAAAACTCTCCCTTTCATCCCACATCCTGTTATTCAGTGAAAATACGTGCAGAGCAGTCCTAAATATGTTTACTCAGAAACAAGATTTCCTGTGAGTTCAGTAAGTGTACTCAAGACTGCAGCTTTCTTTTCAAAACCCTGAACATGTAAAAATGTCTCTTCATTGTACACAGATAACAGAATTGTTTCAGGATACTTTGATGTACATTACAGGATCATCCTGACTGACACAGGTGCAGAGATAATGCAGCATTAACATTTCTTTATAAAATACCTTTCTCAGCTATTTAAGAAAAAACAAAATCTAACAGAGCTGGAAAGATCTTGTAAAAATAAGTAGAGAGAAAAATATACAGCATGCAAACTTTAAACACACAAAACCATGGTTATTTGTTTCAAATCTTCCCCTGCAAAATAATATAGATTTGGTTTCCTTCAGCTCTACACTGTAAACATATAATGGTAACGTACTTAGGTAACGTACTTAGGAGTAAATGTTCCTTCTCACACTTGGCAGCGGTATTAGTAAAAAAAAAAAGTGAGACAAAAATAGTAAGATCAAGTGGGTGTCACAGTCTTTCTTGCTGGCCCAGCTCCCTTGATTGCTTCTGCAAAGGGACAGTTTCCCATACAGCTCTGATTGCTGCTGCATATGTAAAGACATGTGAAAATGGAACAGGTGAAGTTTCTGCAGTGCCTGAACCAGGCCAATAAAAGCGTAATCAAATAAATGGGCAGGCACCTGTCAGGAGCGCAGGAGCAAGGCCAGAGGGAAAAGACAACAACCCCAACTTTTGTCAATGTCTGGTTCAAAATTATATTTAATTTATGGATTTAAAATGTAGCAATTGCTGCACAGTCACAAACAAATTAGCAGCTTGTGGCAGTTGGTGACGGTGTGGTGCCAAGAAGATACTGAAGCAATGAATAAATCTGGCAGCTTTTGCATTTTGCATTTTTGGCTTAATTTATTTATACCCCACCTTTCTCCCCAGTGGGGACCCAAAGTGGCTTACATCATTCTCTCCTCCATTTCATCCTTTGAGGCAGGTCAGGCCAAGAGAGCCTAAGGTCACCCAGCAAGCTTCCACAATACAGGGAGGATTTGAACCCAGGTCTCCCAGATCCTACTCCAACACTCTTACCCACCACACGACAGTGGCTCTTTTGTTTGTTTGTTCGTTTTTGCATTTTTGTGAAATTATTTTCAAACATCGGTCTTTTGCCTAATCAAACTTGATCTGACAATATTGATGAGAATCATTAATGAGAAAGTAAGTGAAGCCTTCACTTTCCATTAAAGTACAGTTATATAAAAATAACAAACAATGTTACAATGAAATAATTTGTTTTCTATTCAATTAGCTTGGGGCTTTTTTGGCAATTCTTTTTAGACTTACACACCTAGAGAAATACTGTTTCCCAATAATACCTTGATTAAAAAGGCACATTCTTAACATTTCAGCAGTTTCTTCAAGTCAGTTTTGTGTTTGGGTGTGAAGGTTAGATTGTGCTTTTTACATTTGTAACCAATTCTTCACCCCCACTCCCCCATTTTAAAAAATCCTCAAAAGTGACTCAGGTGCATAACTTCTCCCCAAATATTCTCTTAATCTTCAAGGATTTGTTTTGCTAAAGTAGAACTATATAGCTTTGTGGGTGGAACTACAGAACTGTAAGTAGATACACACATTGGCATATGTACAGACACACACAAAAGTAGTCCTTCTGTAACAGCATCTAGAGGTGCTGTCTACTCGCTGTGGAGTTTACTTGCAGCAGTTGAATCTAGAGGGTTTTTTGTCAAGGGGAGGGGGGGAGAATTGTCTTGAAGATTATGTGAACCAACTAAATTACTAGTTGTATTCTGAGTACCCAGTCCCTTTCCTCACTGGCTGGTTCAGATTTAATTCACTTCCAGACGAGATGATTGGCAGTTTGTTCTCCATGTGGTAGCGAATCAGGTGACCAACGCTGTCAAATGTGTGGTCTTTAGTTCGCACCTAGAAAAGGGAGCAAAATAAATTGGTAAAGCCCTTGTTTCTTGGCGATATAAACTGTCCTTTTTTGAGCAAGCTCAATTGGCTGAGTCCTTGTGATGAGATTGCTAACAGGGAGGGGGGGGGGGGGGGGGAGATGTCCCAGAGGTTAAATGTGCAGAAATGGGCAGGTGACGTTTTTCATGGCCTGATAATTGCTGCAGGTCGAACTGATATTAAAGTGACACGTAGAAGGACCAGTTTAAAAGCTGGCAATCATAGAAGAGCTGCGCAACACAGTTGTATAAAAAGCAACCAGAGAATAATAATAGGGACACTTATTCCTGGGACTTTTATTATTCCTGGGACTTTTCAGAATCTAGCTCCCTCTCCAAAGCCGAGTTCAACTGCACTTTCCAGAGATCCTCAGCATGAATACAAATCCAAAGTATAAATAACAAAATCTACAGTTGACAATTAGCATTTACTTGTATAGGGGTCAAGACTCTGTGCATTGAAGTAAGACTCCCCACTTAGCTGAGCAGAAGGACTCTGGGTGCAGCCTGCTGCAGTAAGGGGGCTTTTCTGTACAAGGTTTTGCTGTCGCTCCTGGCCTCTTACTGCTTTGGTTTATTCCCCAATTCCCACATGCATTTTTGTGTCTTTAGTTTTCACATCTCTTGTTGTTGTTCTCTGGTTCTTTCTTGGGTCATTTGAAACCACTTTTGCCCCAATCCCTTTTCTGGAACCCAATTTTGAATTGGCTTTTTCCTCGTGCGTAATGTTTCTGTCGGTTTATTTGTCCCACCCACTTCCAGCCCACTTTTCAAGGACTGGACTGTTGGTGGAACATGCCTGCTCAGGGCTGCAGGCCCTGTTCCACCCTGCCTTCCGAGGTTTTCCCCGATATCCCTGGAGAGGCTTTTCTTTCTCCCTCTCTCTCTGTCTGGTAACGGACCACCACCACCTGTCCTTTGTAAGGGACTGCCCACTGGGAGGGTCAGGACTCCCAGCTTCCCTTCCAAGTTCTGAAGCCTTGCCTCTGTCTCTCTGGAGGAATAGCTTCTTGGCAACTGTCAGCCTCTCCACCTGCCCTGAAGCTAAGTGGTTCACTTTTTTAAAAAAATGGCTCTAAAATATCAATATATCAATGTAGTATTGTAATGATAGTTTAAGCAGGTTCTCTGAATTCCCAGTTTTCATTTTTTAAAGAAGTCAGTCTCTAGTTCCTCCCCTCACGGAGATAGGCCTTTTCCATTATATCTCAATGAGGGAAAGGGCTAGAGACTTACTTTTTTTTTTCAAACGAAAGCTGGGAATTCAGAGAACCTGCTTAAACTCTTCTTACAACACTACATCAATATATCAATATTTTAGGGCCTTTAAAAAAAATAAGGGCGGGTGCTCTGATACCACCAATGACGACAGATCTCTTCCTTGAAAATCTTCATTTAAGGCACATGTGGGAGAAAAATCAACTGACTCTACAACTGTGAAAATGCATAGGGAGGGCAGATGTCCAGAACAACCATGCCCAAACCAAATCCAATGCTTGTGGATCGACTGCCAAGAAAATCGGGAGCAAGTCTAGAGCATGCAGAAAAGGTTCTGTACTTTGTGGAACTTCCCTCTGGGAAACATAACTATTACTTGTGCACACTAGGGGGTGCTGTGGCTACACAATTTGAGCCTTGGAAGTCCAAATTCGGGGGGGGGGGAGGTAGGCCAGTTCCTTCCTAAAGGAACTTGGTCCATATGACACCAAGAGTTTTAACTTCTAAAATTACATTTGCTGGAGCCCAAGCCATCTGGAGTTCATAGCCGCCAGAACAAAAATTCTGGTCCTTTTGCTTCCAAGCAGGTATTCCTACCTTCCCTTCAGGATCCACCAGCAACAGATGTTTTGGTTGGCCTCTTTGCAATCCACTCAGAACATACTGGCCTGGTGATGTCGCACTTTCTCGCACCAAAAAATCCCCATCGTTCACTAAGAGGCTCTCTGCAGCTTTCCTGGTTAACATCCCATGGTAGCACTCTTCATTCCACAGCTGTTGCTTTATGCCTACGACACCTCCAACAGCAGCCATATTGCAGGAAAGATTCTGCTCAAGTGCTTCCAAGGATTCTGCAATTAAAGAAAATATGCAGAATTATGGTACCTCAAACCAGCTTTGCTAATATGAGCTAAACAATGGAGTTCAGTCATTGTCTCTCCCCCCCCCCAATCACAACGGCCCACTGATGTGTGTTATATTTACAAAGCAAGCACATATGCACAAGATCACTAACAAATTACAGCACAGTTAATCTGTGTTTAAGTATTGTGCAATACTGCTGAAGGACAGAGGCATCTCTCTGGTTCAGATCAAGATCCACCTCTTCCAACCATGGTTCAAGTATCACAGCAACCACCAGACACTACATGGTTGTGATCTACCAGAAACTGACTAGTGTCTTTTATGTTACTAGGTATACCACAGTATTGCTACCTGAGCTGATACTGGCTTTACAAGTCAGTTTGAGGAGGAGAAAACGATACAGAGGGTAAAGCTTCAGTTGCCTCTGCCCAAGTGGTAAGATGAAAAGAGCCCGTGAGACTCTGGGAGCCACAAAACTCCAGAACGCCTGATTCATCGAATCATAAAGTTGGAAGGGACCTCCAGGGTCATCTAGTCGAACCCCCTGCACAATGCAGGACATTCACAAATACCTTCCCCCCACCCCCCCAGTGACTGCCCAGAAGATGACCCCCCCCCAAAAAAAAAACAGGATCCCCAGCCAACCTGGCCTGGAGAAAAACTGCTTCCTGATCCCAAAGTGGCAATCAGCATCTCCCTGGGCGTTTCCTTGTGCCTTTGCTTGACAAATGTGGGGACTCCACAATGTGAAGATTGGTCCTAGTAAGCTATTGGACAAAAATATAGGATTCTTGGGGCACCTTAAAAACTAACCAGTTTTTATCCGAGCACAGACTTTCACAGAATACAGGCCACTTGATCCGATGTTAACACATTTATGTTAATGTTATTATATTTATTTATTTATTTAAACATTTTTACCCCGCCCTCCCCGCAAGCGGGCTCAGGGCGGCTTACAGGGGCATGAGCCCATACATAAAACCAATACAATCCTATAAAATCATAAAATTAAAACCAATACAAAAACCACTACATACTAATAACAACAAAGTGCTTTTTAACAATAAAGTGCTTTTTCTTCCAAGATGGTCAAAGTTGTTCATCCTTAAGATCATCCAAATCAGTCAGCTACTCTTGCTGCCGCATATGTCATCCTGTCGCCGTGGTATCAAGGACACTCCCAATCTTGATGGTCTTCCACCGTTGGTGGTGGTGGTAAGGCGGCGGCCCCTACATAAACGCCTGGTGGAAGAGCTCCGTCTTGCAGGCCCTGCGGAACTGCATACAGGGCCCTGATCTCTTCCGGGAGCTCATTCCACCAGGTAGGGCCCGCCACTGAGAAAGATCTTGTCCTCATTGCAGCATAATGCACCTCCCGGGGCCCCGGAACCACCAAACGGTTCTGGGTCCCCGACCGAAGTGCTCTTGGGGGTATATACGGGGAAAGGCGGTCCCTCAGGTAGGTCGGACCCAGGCCATATAGGGCTTTAAAGGTGAGTACCAGCACTTTGAAGCGGACTCGGTATGCTATTGGCAGCCAGTGCAGAGTCCTCAACCCAGGCTTGATGTGCTCCCACCTGGGGAGGCCCATCAGCAGCCTAGCTGCCGCATTCTGCACCAGCTGCAGCCTCCGGATCAGCGACAAAGGCAGCCCCATGTAGAGAGCGTTACAGTAGTCTAGCCTTGAGGTGACCGTCGCATGGATCACTGTAGCCAGGTCTTCACGGGCGAGGAAGGGAGCCAACTGCCGTGCCCGCCTCAGATGGTAAGAAGCAGACCTGGCAGTGGCTGCTACCTGGGCCTCCATTGTTAAGGAGGAGTCCAGGAGCACTCCCAAACTCCTAACCTCCGATACAGGCACCAGAGGCACCCCATCGAAGGTCGGGAGAGGGAGCCCCAACCCCAAACCGTTCCGACTCAGGCCCAGGACCTCCGTCTTCGCTGGGTTTAGTTTCAACCGGCTCAGCCTGAGCCACTCAGCCACAGCCTGTAATCCCTGGTACAGATCTTCAGGGTCGGAGCCTGACTGGCCGCCCAACATCAGATAGAGCTGGGTGTCATCTGCATACTGATGACAACCCAGCCCATACCTCCTGGCAATCTGGGCAAGAGGGCGCATATAGATGTTAAAGAGCATCGGGGAAAGTACTGCCCCCTGAGGGACTCCACATTCAAGTGGGTGCCTCTGGGACCGTTGTTCCCCGATTACCACTCTCTGTCCCCGACCTTGGAGAAAAGAGGCAAGCCATTGAAGGGCGAGCCCCTGAATCCCCACATCGGCGAGGCGGTGGGTCAGCAACTGGTGGTCGACCACATCGAACGCTGCCGACAGATCCAACAACACCAGTGCCGCCACACCACCTCGATCCAGATGCCTCCGGAGGTCGTCAGTAAGGGCAACCAGCACCGTCTCCGTCCCATAACCAGGGCGAAAGCCGGACTGAAATGGATCCAGGATAGAAGCGTCATCCAGGAAGCCCTGTAGCTGTGTCGCCACCGCCCTCTCAATCAATTTGCCCAAATAGGGCAAATTGGACACCGGCCGATAGTTGACCAATTCGGTCGGGTCTAAGGTTGGTTTTTTCAGGAGAGGGCGGACCATCGCTTCCTTGAGTGCTGTAGGGAACCGTCCCTCCTCAAGGGACTTGTTGATAATTTCCCGTGCAGCACCTCGAAACCCCTCGTGGCCCGCCTTAATGAGCCAGGAAGGGCACGGATCCAAAGAGCACGTGGTTGGGCGCACAGTCACGAGCAACCTGTCAACTTCTTCCAGGCTGAGCGGGTCAAAACATTCTAAACCCAGCGGAGACGTGCAAGGGGCCTCAAGTTCACTCACTGTTTCAACTGTGGCGGGGAGGGCACGGCGGAGCACCGAGACTTTGTCCGCAAAATAGCTCGCAAACGCCTCACAGCCAATAGCCAATTCCCTACTATTTTGCCTGCCCTGTGGCAGAGTTGTTAAAGACCGAATTGTTCTAAATAATTGGGCTGGGCGAGAGCTAGCGGACGCAATCGCGGCTGCATAGAATTCCTTCTTAGCAGCTTTGACCGCCATCTCATAGGCTTTCATAAGCGTCCTGAAGGATGTTCTCGATGCTTCGTCACGAGCTCGCCGCCACCGTCTCTCTAGCCGTCTAAGCTCCCGCTTCATAAGTCGGAGCCCCTGGGTATACCAAGGGGCCAACCTAGTGCGGGGGCGCAGAGGGCGCCGAGGAGCGATCTCATCGATGGCTGCAGAGAGCCGGCCATGCCAGTCCCCCACAAGCTCATCTAATGAACCGCCAGGGGGTATCGGATCCCGCAGGGCCAGCTGAAGCCGTACATGGTCCATTTGGCTCCGCGGGCGAGCTAAAAATTGCTCGCCGCCTAAACAGGGTCGGGGTGGGATGTTCAGACGGGCCTTCAGGGAATAGTGGTCCGACCATGGTACTGCCGTGGCAGTAATCCGGTCCACTGTAATCCCCGCAGCGAAGATCAAATCGAGCGTGTGTCCGGCCTGGTGCGTGGGGACCGATACACATTGGGAGAGCCCCAGTGCCTCCATGGACGCCACTAGGTCCGTAGCCCGGCCGGAGGCCGCGTCATCAGCATGGACGTTGAAATCACCCAGGATCAGAAGCCTCGGGCGCTCCAACGCCCAGCCGGACACGGCCTCCAGCAGGGACGGCAGGCTGCTGGCCGGCGCGTTAGGCGGTCGGTACACTAGCCACACAGCCAAGTTCTCCTCAGTCTCCAGCACCAGGCCGACACACTCTATGCCCACGATCTCCGGTGAGGGGAGGGCCCTGAAGGAGTAAGCCTCCCGAACGAACAACGCCCCCCCCCCCCCCCGCCCCTTAGTCCGTGATTGGTGCGTGACCGAGAACCCAGGCGGGGCAAGTTGGGAGAGTGCTACTGTCTTCCCATCCCGCAACCAGGTCTCAGTAATGCACGCCAGGTCCGCTTGCTGTTCCATGACGAAGTCCCGAAGGACTATCGTCTTGTTGTTAATGGACCTGGTGTTGCAAAACACCAATGACGGAGAGGGGTTCATCTTCCGAGTCCCCCTGCTGACCTCCCTTGGGATGGGTCGTAGGTTGGAAGGGCACCGAGCCATCCTCTTTCTCAGGGCCCTTCCCTTGAAGTTCTGCCTAGACCCACCGCTAAACTTTCCCCTCCCCAAGAGCACCGGAATCTGCTGCGCCGGCATTGCTATACCCGCCGGTCACCACGACAGCAAACTTCCACGCCAGATAGCTCCACCAGCCAAGTGAAACGTTGCAGCATAAATCAGTTCAAATTGCTTCCAGAAACCAGCAGCTCTTCGTTCTATCCCACTCCACCAACCTGTAGTGCAAAATAACTAGCTCAATGGCTCTCTAATGCACAGGATAAGTACTCTACCCTAACCTGCTAGGTTCAAACCCTCCTCCCCTCTCTATTTACTCTACAAGGACATTACTATCATCCGCACCATTCCTAGAATGGAGTTAATCTATTTTATTGCCCCATACACCTCACTCACAGAGTGATTTTCAGCTCAGTTAGCAATAACTAATCACAGTTCATTAATTAACAGACATAGTATCAATAATATTAGACAAAGTAATACATCCCATCAAAATCCAACTAAAACCTAGCAATAAACCCTCCCTTCACTACTGGCACTAGACTCATGCACATACACTTAACACTACCCGAGCTGCTAGTTTGGCCGCATTTAGTACAGATGTTCCTCCAGCATCAACGTTCCAGATGCACCAGGCGGCTCCTTGTCCCAGCGGTCCAAGACGGTGGTGGGGGGGGAGATTCTTCAATCTTCGCCCTCTCTCACAGGGCCTTTCTGTTTGATGTTCTTCCCCGTCGCCCTCTCTCACAGGGCCCTCCTCCCTACCCTCCTCCGTCGTCGTACACACCATGGATCTAGCCGCGTCACCGTCGTTCCACTCGCCCCCTCTCACTGGGCCCCTCCAACCGGTGCTCTTCTGCTGCCTCACACGACGTGGGTCAAGTCTCACTTCCGTCCCTTCAGGGGGCTCAGTAGGTCCCCCCACCAGACTACGTCGGGAGCGGCGGCATTCCCCGCCCCCCCTTATATTATAAACAGATGTCTTGGGGAACATGCAAGGTTCCCCCCCCCCCAGTATAAGTGTTCATGGACGATTTTTTAATTTATTTTGTTTTCCCCCTGCATCATTCTGTTCTCCTCCATTTTATCATCACAACAACCCCGAGAGGGAAGTTAGGGTGAGAGTGTGTGACTGGCCCAAAGTCACCCAGTGAGTTTCCATGGCAGAGTGGGGATTTAAACCTGGAGTCTCCCAGATCCTAGTCTAACACTTTAACCACCAGACCACACTAGAGCCCGCTTTGTCATATGTGTGCATCTGACCCATATGAATGGGTCAGATGCACACATATGTGCATACGGATGAAATACGGGCTCTAGTCCACAGAAGCTTATTCTGGAACACGTAAATTCTTCTTAAGTCTTTAAGGTGCCCCAAGAGGACACTATATTTTTGCAAGCAGTTACACCTACACCATGGTCAATTACCAACGATTGTCACCTGTACTATTCTTAAAGGTAAAGGTAAAAGTTTCCCTTGCTCGAAAGCCAGTCGAATCTGACTCTAGAGGGCGGTGCTCATCTCTGTTTCCAAGCCAAAGAGCCCGCACTGTCCAAAGACTTCTCCGTGGTCATGTGGCCGGCATGACTAAATGCCGAGGCGCACGGAACGCTGCTACCTTCCCACCAAAGTGGTACCTATTTATCTACTTGCAATTTCTTGCTTTCAAACTGCTAGGTTGGCAGGAGCTGGGGCCACTCCGTCACGTGGCACTCGGGCCTCGAACTGCCGAACTACAGACCTTCCAGTCTGCAGCTCGGTATCTTAACCTCTGAGCCACTGCTCACCATTCCCTGTTTTTATTATTCCTAACCTTGGCAATGCACGGCTTGAGTCTCAAAGCTAGAACTAGCCTAGTTTTTTAAAGCTCTGAATTATTTGACAGGGATTTATCAAATGTCATTCAAAGCGCTGAAGAATACACTGAGTAAGGATATGGACATACTGGAATAATGCAGTGGACTTCCACAGGTTGGTACCGATGTTAAGTTTCTGGTAGCGCAGGGTGTGGCTGGCAAATTCTGAGTATTGATGTATCGAGGATCATCAAAAAGGTCTACTTTGCTTGCATTTTTCAGCAATGATGGAGCGTCTTTATTGGCCACTTGCCGTTGTTCACCACCAATATCTGCAGTTAAGAGCAACAGAGAAATGTTCCCTCCATTTTACAAGAAAATTACAGTCAAAACTAAAACACTGACCATCCTTCCCCCCCAAAAAAACCCCAACCACATTAAGAGCAAATGTGCCAAATTATCTAATACTTTCTGCACTTATAAAAGGTATGATTTCTAGAACTCAGGCACCTAGGCATGACTCAAGGGCGAGATGATATATAACTTTCTTGATTGGGAACATCTGCCCATAAACAAGCTTGCCCCTCTTGATCAGTGACCAGTATAGGAAGAGAGCACTGGAGCTCTATTCTCTCTTTGTCTTGTTGGTGATCCAACAGGTAGAAAACCTCCAGCATCATTCATAGCTGGAAGGCTGAACCAACTAACTTTATTGCTAAAAGTGCATTACTTTTCAGCAGCATTTATTTCCGCTGCCCCAGCTAATGACGACTAAGCAGTAGGTTTCTCCTTGCTGGAACACCAGATTAATTAAAGCTATTTCTTTCTATATTGAACAAGTGAGGAGGTAGGTTTGACTACAGGCAAAATGCAGCTGGAGATCAAACAATCCTTCTTCAAGGGTCTACTATCTGAACTAAACTCTTAGGAATACATAGAGTACTTACCTACAGCCTTGAACCCCTCTGTGCAGTTTTCATAAATATTTGTGGATTTAGGACTCATGGTCTGAAAGAAACACAAGTTTATCACAAAAGGTGTTTATTATGTCCAGGCAGATCAACTCGTTTGGCCCAAACATTTCTGGGCAAATGAAAAAAAATCAACTGAATAAGTTTTTATAACAAAAAATTATTTATCCTCCATGCTCTGTTTATGGCAATAAAATCCAGATTATGCAAATTCAAATTCAGCAAGGATTATGAACAATTTGTTTATTTTGCATAACATATTTTAGCTTCTTAGAATGGGAAACATGAAGTGAGAAAGCTGAGGACAGACAATTTATAGTAGCAAGTCTATCCCTTTCCAATGCAGAGATATAAGGGGAAAGGCACATCTCCACAGTGGAAAAGGCCAGAGACTTAATTTAAAAAAAATTAAAACTGGGAATTCAGAGAACCCGGTACACGTGTTGGTATAGCGAGATAGTGATATAGTGATATTCTAGTGCTGATTTTTCTTTGAATTGCAAAAACCCTGCTGGCTCAGGGGCTGCTAAGAGACTACAGAAGGCATAGTGCTAAGGCACCTCATTTGCACACATACTTACTGAACTGTATTGCTGTTCACAGTGTGTGGGGCAGTTTGCATCTGTGGGGACCTTCAGCCTGATGTCCAACAGCCCCCCTGCAGGAGGCTCGTTCCCTGAGATTTCATTATAGTATTCGTGATCCTCTTTGTCCTGAATGTTCCACGTTGATCCGCCTGGATTCACCACCTCACTGTACAGAACCAAACAACATATGGATGGAATACATTTCACAGGGGGGGAAAGAGATAAGCTTGTTTCATTTGACATTAAATTCAGTGACAATGTCACTGGGTAGAAAGCCAGCAATAGAAACAGGAGGCTTGCAGAGCACAGGGTTGCCAACCCTCAGGAGAGACCTGGAGTTATCCTGGAATTACAGGTGACCTCCAGACTACAGAGATCAGTTTCCCAGGAGGAAGGGGCAGCTTCAGAGGATGGACTGAATGGCATCTCCCTTTCAGACTCTACCCTCCCCAGGCTCCATCCCCAAATTTCCAGGAATTTTCCAACCTGGAGTTGGCAGCTCTAGGTAGCTGGAGCGCCATGAACAAGTTGCAAGAATTTTGGGAAAACAAAGTCTGACTTCATGAAGTCCACCCCAGGCCTAGTTGACCAGATGTCTGCAGTGAGTTCCATCCATGGTGAAGGCATTTGCAGCCCTGATTTGCCCTGCCAGGGGAATTTACATCCATCAGCTCACATGAGTTTATTGAGCTCCCTTTTGTTTTTGGAATTTGTTTCTTTCTCCCTAAAATCAGACACAAGGCCCCACCCAACCCAATTTAGATGGGGACTTTGGTATACAAAAGGACCAGTGTTTAAAACTGCCCTACCATCACTTTCCTGATCTGAAATAGCTGTGGTGAGACACTATTTGCCCATATTGGCATAGGTTCCTGTATGGAACAGTGGAACAGTCTGCCTCGGGAGGTGGTGGATGCTCCTTCGCTGGACGTTTTCAAGCAGAGGCTGGACGACCATCTTTTGGGGATGTTGTAGGTATGTAGGGCTATTTTTCGGCTATGCTTCTGCAGAGTGCAGGGGGTTAGACTAGATGACCTGCAAGATCCCTTTCAACTCTAACGTTCTATTATTCTATGTCTACCCTAACAAGGCAACTAGCAGCTGTTTCAGAGTGGGAAAATGAAGTGGGGGGGGCTTAACCCCCTTTCCCTTGTGCTATGATTGTGATCCAAATCAGGACCTCACACAACTAATTTTTAGAGGGGGGGGGGAACCTGCTAGAAGCTCCATTTGCGAAACTCCTAGCATCCTGTCTGCTTATGCCAGGTCTGTACTATGTTCATAGCACATTTATATGAGCTCCTGGGACCTCTTATGCTTGCTGCATACATCTGCACACGATGACCCATCACAGAAAATTAAAGATCTGTGTGCCAGGTAGACAGCACTGAGAAACAAGTGAAATGAAACACGTAGCTAAAAAGGAATGCCTTGGGAAGCCATTTATCTGCTCCTGTGGGGCTGAGAGAATATTTAAAGAACATCTTTACAGTCTGGAATCTAAACATGGGGAAAAGTTAATGGATTCCTGAAGAGAATTAGGGTTGCCAATTCGAGTCTGGGAAATTCCTGGTGATTTGGGTGTGGAGCCGGGGGGGGGGGGGTCCAGGAGGGTACGGTGCCATAGAGTTCAACCTCCAAAGCAGCCATTTTCTCCAGAGGAACTAATCTCTATGGTCTATACTTGAATTTCAGATCACTGTGGCTCTCTGCCCATCCTACATAATAAAAGAGATGCCAATGCTTATGGGGAAACAGCTTTGTTCTAATGCCCACTGGGTGGAAGAGGAGACACCCCTTTCCTAAGCAGCCAGGGAATGGGTGTGTGAAAAGAAAAATTAATATTTTAGTTTCTGTCTGGAGACAGAATGTGGGCGGGTGGATTTACTGCCCTTTAGGACTGCCTCTTAGCCTCCACCCACCCACCCGCCTGTCAGTTGATTGACAAAGACCCCATAAGTGCCCTTCTCCTTGTAAGGGAACCAAACCAGGCAAGCAAAACCTCTTGTGCTCAGAGAAATGGGGTGTGCTTGGGAAGTCTGGGCCATGGCTGTTCTCAGCTCTGGCAGCCAGGGAGGAGTCGAGTTGGGACCAGGGCTCATTTCCTGCGGGAGCGCACAGGAGCGGAGCTCCGGCAGTAAGGAGTCCAGTGGCACCTTTAAGACCAAGTTTTATTCAGGTACAAGCCCTCCCTCCTCTGTGAGGGCAGATCTGCACGTTCCTCCCCCCCCATAGCTAGCAATCCACAACAGTCCAGTGGCACCTTTAAGGCCAAGTTTTATTCAGGTACAAGCCCTCCCTCCTCTGTGAGGGCAGATCTGCACGTTCCTCCCCCCCCATAGCTAGCAATCCACAACAGTCCAGTGGCACCTTTAAGGCCAAGTTTTATTCAGGTACAAGCCCTCCCTCCTCTGTGAGGGCAGATCTGCACGTTCCTCCCCCCCCATAGCTAGCAATCCACAACAGTCCAGTGGCACCTTTAAGGCCAAGTTTTATTCAGGTACAAGCCCTCCCTCCTCTGTGAGGGCAGATCTGCACGTTCCTCCCCCCCCATAGCTAGCAATCCACAACAGTCCAGTGGCACCTTTAAGGCCAAGTTTTATTCAGGTACAAGCTCTCCCTCCTCTGCGAGGACAGATCTGCACGTTCCCCCCCAATAGCTAGCAATCCCAAACAGTCCAGTGGAGCCTGAGCGGTGGGTGTTGCCTTCTGACACACTTCCAGTGATGTCAGGGGGTGTGGCATATGCAAATAGGTTATGCTAATGAGTTATGCTAATGAGCTCCGGCACCACTTTTTCTACGAAATGACCCCTGGTTGGGACCCAGAATTGGATCCTGACAAGGCACATGCTCAGGAAAGTACTCTCCAATATTCCAACAGAACTTTGGAGCCTAGTTCCAGGGCTGAATGTTAACAGTCTCTGGATCAAATAATGCCTTCCCAATCAGTTTCTCCCGCCCTAGCACTTTGCTGCAGTTCTGACAGCAGAAAAATGTTTGTACTTCTCACTTGCAGCCTCTAAACCTGCAAAAAAGAAAAGCCTGGATTTCCCCCCCCCCCTCCCCATTTGCTGCATCTCCTCTGCGAAACAAAACAAAACAAAACCAGAAGCTCATCTTGAAATCTAGTTTCTTCATTCATAACAAGACTGTAATTCAATAAAAGGCCAGGAACAGGAAAGAGATACTGATCAAGCAGTCTGGTTATGGGATATTACTCAAGAATTTAATTAAGTGATTCATAGAAACCGGAGAGCGGGCAATGCATTTGCAGTCTTTGACAGAGGTCCTCCATCTGCTTGCTTCCACGTATGCAGCAATTTATTCATTTTATTTTATTTTTAAACATTTTTCTCTCACTCCATTTTTATTGAAACTACCAATGCAGCAGCTTGCAAAAGTTAAAAAAAATGCAAAAAATAAAAAAATAAAAAATACTAAATACAACTAAAGCCATTCATAAATTAAATAAAACTATGTTCAAGTACGGTCCTCTGCATCTCTAGTTAAACGGATCAGGAAGTAGGTGATGTGAAACCTGGAGAGATGCTGCCAGTCAGAGTAGGAAATACAGACCTTGACAAGCCAAAGGTCTGTCTCAGCAGAAGGCAGCTTGTGCGGGAGAGAATAAGATTTATGGGGGGAGGGTGTGTGGCTCAGTAGAAGAGCATCTGCTTGGCATGCAGAAGGTCCCAGGACCAATCCCCGGCATCTCCAGTTTTTTTAAAAAAGGATAAGACCCCTAGAGAGCCACTGCCAGTCACAGTAGACAATGGGTCTGACTCAGTACAAGACGGCTTTATGAATTCATCACATTATACCAAGGACGGCTGTGGTTCAGTGGCAGAGTATCTTGCCTTGCATGCAGAAGCCTCCATGTTCAATCTCCAGCATCTCCAGTTAGAAGAATCAGGTAGTAGGTGGTGGGAAAGGCCTGTACCCGAGACCCTAGAGGACCTCTTCCTGAGACCTTGAACAGCCACCATAAATTCATAGTAGACAACCATTTTAACATGCTCTCTTTAGCAGCGCTAACTGGTATAGTTAGGGGATTCACATGGGAGCAGAGGTTATGTCCCTGTGGACCTCAGCTGACAAATCGATTTTCTCGGTTTTCCTGTATGCTGAGTGAAGAGCTAAGATGCTATCTTCGCTTATGTCTGCCTTTCCAGCCCACTTGGTGGATTACCATCTGCTAAATTTCCTTTCAGGGTCTGACAAGAAAAATACAGAAAAGTGACGAAATTCATCTCATGGTCACTAAAACATCGTGACCAAGTCCCAAAACTACCCTGACTGATTGAGTTTGGAGGAGCAATCTATTCTCATAGTAGGCTTACTGGTATTTCAGCTAACTTTTAAAACCTACTGGTGCCATCCTTTTATTATGTAAACTTCTGATTCTGAATTGTATTTACTTGCCAACTGTATGTTACTGAATGTTTGCATTAGGTTCAGCCTGATTAAGTCCAATGAGTCATAGTGCTTTGGTGGTGGGAAGTGCCCTCAAGTTGCAGCCAACTTATGGCAACCTGTAGGGTTTTCAAGGCAAGAGCCATTCAGAGGTGGTTTGCTGCCACCTTCCTCTACATAGCAAACCTGGACTTCCTTGGTGGTCTCTCATCCAAATACTAACCAGGAGCAACCAGGAGCAACCCTGCTTAGCTTCCCTGCTTAGCTTCCAAGCTAGCTGGGGACATCCAGGTCAGGGCCACTGCGCTTTAGGGACTATTTTGCAGAGAATAAAACTGAGGCTGTTTGCAGAGTAAACCATACAGACAGAGATAGGCAAACGGCCTGACAATAGAAGGCAACATTGTATGTTCATAAAGCACAGATGAAAAAGGAAAAGTCCTGTAAGATGCCTCCTCCTCCCCCAATTTAAGGGTCTGCAAGTGCCTGAGAAAAACAGGAATGTTCTCAGCTCAAGAGCCAAGTGGACAGACATGGGTAGGGTTGCCAGCTCCAGGTTGGGGAATTCCTGGAGATTTGGGGGTGGAGTTTAGGGAGGGCGGGGTTTGAGAAGGGGAGGGACCTCAGCAGGGTGTAATGCTATAGAGTTCACTTTCCAGAGCACCCGTTTTCTCCTGGGGAACTGATCTCTGTCACCTGGAGATCAGTTGAAATCCCTGGAGATCTCCAGGTACCACCGGGAGGCTGGCAACCCTATAGACATGAGAGAATGGCTAGGGGAAAGAGACATGGCTGGGATTCTGAGAACAGCCAGCCAGCAGTTAAGGAAGCAGTATTTGCATTGCTTGCAAACTCCATGCTGACCTTTCATTGGAAGCAATCAAGGTCGACGGATTCTTCAAGTACTGTTTGAAGCGAAGTTCAAAGGCTTGCCCTATGGTATTGATGACTTCCTGGGCTACCCCGCTGGGACATTCCAATATATGGCATGCTAAAAAAGGGAGGAGAGGAAATGTTGGAAACAAAAGCATGGATTTTTATATATTGGACATTTTTATAGCCCAGCAATGAAAAGTGTGATAGCTCTACACACACACGCTGAATTGAACAGGAGTTACGATTCTGCCCCCTTTTTCTCTTAAAACTGAATTATGCCAATATGATTAGGAACTCATTAACTTTTACCAAATATAAAAGACTAAACAATTGACCTCTGTGTATTTTTCCCCATCTGTTCAATTTTATAATCATCATTTGTACCCTGTTCTCTCAAAGGTATTGATTGATGTGGCTTACCAATTTATTTAATTTTTAAGACAGTAAAAACGATATATGCAAACACACAATCTATAAAGAGCTCATTAAAATCCAAGTGCAAAACACTATAGATATCTTTCATGCCCCCCTTTAAGCCTGTCTAGATATCACCTAGGGTTGCCAACTCCAGGTGGTGGCTGGAGATCTCCTGGAATTACAACTGGACTCCAGGCAACAGAGATCGGTTACCTGGAGAAAAATGGCTGCTTCAAAGGATGGAGTCTATGAAATTATACTCTGCCGGGAATATTATAAGCCACTGTGTCCATTAGCCATAAAAGTGGGGTATAAATGTAGTAAATAAATACCCACTCCTGATTGAATTGAGAGTGAAAGAGAGGTGAAGAGGTGTGTGGCATTCAAACAGGGCTGTTATTATCTCTGTTTTAAACTGAATACCACAATCCTGTACACGTTCCCTTAGAAGTAAATCATAAGAAGAAAATCCTACTGGTTTCAATGGACCTTGCTTCCACGCAAGGGTTGTACTCAAATGCTACTAAGATTTTCAGGTTTTCCTTCTACAGCAATTATTTCATACACCCATCTGAACTGGTGTCAAAATTTTCTTTATCTGGAATCAACAGAAAATTTAGATTCCAGTGGGGCACATTTAAGACCCACAAAGGTTTATTCAAGGTATGAGGTTTCGTGTGCATGCACACTTTATCAAATACATTAGAATGGCAGGCAAGGTTTAAACCAACATGGTTGACCAACTGGATCTAGGAATCAACGGAACTATTCACAGTACTTTGGATATGAACGCGCCACTGATTTCTAGAGTTCCATTCTTATCTTTTCTAATGCTTTGCATACATCTCCTTGCATCTGCAGAGAACTGAGTTCAATTGTTATGGTAGTCTCTCTTTGCCAGTCATGTTTCCCAAATTTAGCCATCAGATGGCACTTCAGTACTACTCTGGTAAAGAAAGGTTTCTGTGGGCAAACTGCTTCAGACCCTTTGGATATTCTTGACTTCCCCCGTCTACTGCTAGCCTCAAATCTTCTTCACACAGAACACGTTTTTCTCATATACAGGTAGGAGAACACTATACATCCCATGTATCTCATTTTTTGTGAAAATCTGTGGCTTGGAACCTACAATATCGACGCTCACGTCCTCTACCACTTGCACTTCCACATATCAAGATTTTCCAAGAAGCCACTGCACATGCAGAAGTGGTAGCAGTAGAGGAATTGAGCTGAGCACCACAGCACATTAAAGCCTCCACATTGTGGCCAGAGAGAAGTGCCCAAAGAATGATGTCAAAGATTTCAAGCCTTCGTGTTTTGCCACATGTTCATGTTTTTGGAAGCTGCCCTACTTCAGCAGAACAAACAGTTGCAATGTTTTGTTCTAGGTTCTTTGGGCCAACTTAGATGTTATGGTGATTTCTGATCAAAAGCAGCCACAAGGAGACCCGTCCCTCTTCATTCCATAAGGACTGCAGCATCAACACATTTATGGATCTATGTGTCAGCAGCTGCCTCATTAGGCCAACCAAGAGCCACTGGTACCTGTGATGAAAAATCCATGTCCCACCCTCTAGATTAGCAATCACAACCAAAGAAGGTACAAATTTTCACCTTTTAAAAGGGGACCAAAATTTTCAGCCTAAGGCTACTGGCCCACTGTTTCCATGACAGGGCCAGTACTGTTCCTAGTATATATACACAATGCTTCCCAAAGAACAGCAGACATTACGGATTTTAACAGTTACAGTTTTACCCCTTCCTCTAAGCAGTTGTATGTTAGAGCCAGTTTTGGCAATCAGCTGGATTGAGTGATGAAGCTTCGAGCAGGACTTTATCACTTCAGACTGAAGATAGAATTTGGCATGTTTGAATGCTTCCCCTAGAGCAGGGGGGAACCCTTCTTGCATGTCGAAAACCTAGGACATCAAGTAGAAGGGTTTCCAACCTGGCCTTCTCCTTGACTTACTATTTTCATGGAGTGTTTCCATAGACAAACTCAAGCCTAAACACTCCTTCTTGCAGCCTCAAGTGCTAACAATCCTGGTCAAACATTACCACTTGATTCAGCTACATGTAGAAAGTGGGCATAAGTCTTGCCACAGTCTTTTGAGGCCGGTTAAGCAGAGAAACAGTTAACTGCCCAAGTGCACCCAAAGAGCTTCAGAGGTGAAGCAGGGATGTTATTATACATACAGCATTCTTGAAAATCATTGTACCTACCTCTTTGATTAACAGGATCTTTTGCAACATAGGCAACGTAGTCTGTTGTATCCTAAAACACACAAAACCACAAAATATGATCCATCTCTTTTACAGCAGACTCCCCCCCTCCTTTCCAGGAAAGCAGGTAGTGCCATCCCAAGCAGATAGTTTCAGAGGGTAGCCAAGTTGGTCACAATGGAAGAGCTAGAATCAAGTCCAGTAGCACCTTAGAGACCCAACAAGAGTTTCAGGAGAGTCAGTGTGGCGTAGTGGTTAGAATGTCAGACCAGGACCTGGGAGAACCGGGTTCGAATCCCCACTTCTGCCATGGAAGCTCACTGGGTGACCTTGGGCCAAGCACAGACTCTCAGCCTAACCTACTTCACAGGGTTGTTGTGAGGATAAAATGGAGGAGAGGAGAATGATGTGAGTTGCTTTGGGTCCCCATGAGGGAGAAAGGCAGGGTATAAATAAAGTAAACAAGTAAATATTCTTTCAAGAGTTAAGGTTCCATCTCCGGCAACTCCAGTTAAAAGGATCTGGCAGCAGGTGATGTGAAGGACCCCTTGTCTGAGACCGGGGGAGCCACTGCCAGTCTGAGTAGACGATACTGACTTTGATGGACTGAGGGTCTGATTGAGCATGAGGCTCCTTCATAGGTTCATATCAGCTTTGACTCTGGAAAGCTTCTATCCCGAATATCTTGTTGCTCTCTCACTGTTTCTCTGCTTAACTGGACTCAGCTCTAACTGTCCTGTGCAGTCTCACACCTTCCTAAGCCTTTTAAGTCACAAGGAAAGGTGGGGTATAAACATTTAAATTAATAAATGAACTGAAAGTTTAGAAGGGTGTGATTCTGTTACGTGTCCAGTAACAGCGAGCACAACAACAACAAGCACGATGTCACTAATAGAAGAGGATGTCTTTAACTTGATAAATAGATTCATGCAATGGATAAACTATTTTGCATTCCAGAAAGGTTAAGCAAACATGTCCTTAACGGATATGCAGACATCTTCAAGTGAAAGAAACGTAGAATTTTTGTTTGTTTATTTAAAACATTGTTATGCTGCCTTTTTTTACCCAACGAAGGGTCCCCAAGGTGGCGAACAATGAAAACCTTGAAAGCAAACTTTAAAAATACATATTCTAAAAACAACAAAAACAACAACAATTATACGTACGTACACACACACACACACACAAATAGGAAGTGAGGAAATGCTGGGGCCGTTTTGAACATCAGCCCTCCCATCCCTGTGTCTTCACTGCTCTTGCAAAGTCCTCCCAAAGCCAAAGCACAGGTGGAGGGCAGGATTAATATCCAGATGGCTGGTGCTGAGCTCCCACACAAGCCATATGGAAGAGTGTTGCATAGCAGCAGGCAGGGCCGGCCCGAGAGTTTTTTGCACCCTAGGCAGGGCTACCTTCTAGCGCCCCCCCCGCTGCGCACCCAAGTACGCGGTTGCCAACCTCCAGGCGGGGCCTGAAGAGACGGAAGCCCTCCTCCTTGGGACCGCCCCCTCCGCCCACCTGGCTGCCTGCCCTGCTCCTCCAGTGCACTCCAAGCTGCGAACCCCTGACTTGGCGTGCAGGCGCCCGCGCGGGCTTCTCCCAGCTTCTCCGGGGGGGGGGGGACAGCAACCTTAATTGTGTGTGGGGAGGGGCCACGCTTCTCCCTTTAGTGGTGGGGGGGAAACCAGCGACCTTCCTTGTGTGTGTGTGGCGGCCACCAGGAACCGCCACACC